AGGGTATTTACCATGAATAGAACTTGCAGGACTAGAAGTAGCTCTGGGTGAGTCAGTGAGTGAATGATAAGTGAATGGAGAGTGTTAAGACATTACTGTGAGGAATGGCAAGTGGCTTGGTCATTAGGTGCACTGGACTCCGACATCTACATGGCCGGCTGTGGTTTGAGTCCCAGACCTGGTGGCTTGCTTTCTCACTTTCCTTCTCTGTCTCTCACTCTGTCCCTCTCAGGTAAAATTAAAAATGAATAATTTTTTAAAGACGTTACTGTGTACTTCTTCCATAAGTGGATTTATAAACCTCATTCTTCAACATGCTTCTCAAGCAAGCACTTCCTAAGCCCACCTTCCTGGTTGAGAGCTGTTGTTGTTATTATTGTTTTTGGTTTTTTTGCTAGAGGGTACATGTGCTCTCCAGAGAAAGACAGAGACACAGAAAGAGGGAGAGGAGAAAACACTCCCTGTAGAGAATGATCATGCTACAGTCCTTTCTCCACGTCTCCCTCTTTGGGGATTTTGGGCATATATGCACATGTACTCAGTGTGTTTCTCAAGCTGTCAGCTCTGGTTCTCAAACTGCAATCAGCCACGTGGGATCTGGCTGCCTTAACCACCAGGCCATGGACTTGGTTCTCTTCCTGTATTTTAAAAGATGATGTATGAACTCCCTGATGCCTTTAAAATATACAACTTCTTCCCACTTAGCACAGAGCTATTTTGCTTTTATTACTTACTTTTAGAGATGACAGGTTGTGGCAGTCTCTGAGAAATCTATTGCTTTTCTTCCCTATCCCTCCCTGACAAAAAAAAAAGAAAGCAAAAGATGGGTGGGTGAGAAATGCCCTACTGCTATGTTTAACGAAGACAACCTTGCTGTATCTTAAGCACCAGGTTTTGATTTATGTGTAAAGAGACATGCTAAGAAAGGAACCAGGCTTAGTTTTTACCATTGGGTGGCTAAGTATTGTCTAAGATATGTAAGAACAGCACAGTTAAGCCATTGCATTCCATGGTGTTAAGCTTTGTTTTGACAGTGAATGCTAAATCGATTATACAACAGATAAAACATACCAGGTCAGTCTTTTCTATTTATCAGAAAGGATATGATTCTAATTCTAGGAGAATAATCTTTTTAAGGGAGAGGAGATTAATGAAGTGGAAATTCATACTTTAATTTTGAAACCAGTAGCACCCAATTAACAAGCTTAGTGAAAAAAACGATGTTGAGGAAGTCACTAATCTCATAGAATAACTTTTGTGGTTTAACTACTTGTTTTTTTATTTTAGATCTGTTGTTAATTGCTAGAGGGCACATGCATTCACGAGAGAGACAAAGCAAAGCAGAGGGAGAGAGCACCCCCATATGGGGCATGGTTATGCTACAATCCTTTTGCTTCCATTTCTCCATTATGTTGGGATTTTGAGCACATTTGCATTTGTGCTCAGCCTGTTTTTTCTTTTTCAAAGAGGTTTTTTTGCCATAGGATACATGTGCTTGTCAGAAAAAGAGAGCGAGAGAGAGACAGTGAGAAGTAAGAAATTACCCCCAGGGGTTGGCTATGCTGCAGTCCCTTTTCCATTTTCCTCTTGGGATCTTAGGCATGTACGCACATGTGCCTGGCATGATTTTCAAGCCACCATGTCTGGGATTGGAACTGTAGTTGGCCATGTAGGAGTCCAGCAATGTAACTGCTCCGCCACCTGCTGGCCCACAGAATGTTTTTCAAGTTAGGATGGCTGAGATTCGAACCCCAGTTGGTCATGTGGGATATGGTTCACACAGCCATTAGGCTATAGTGCTGATCCTCATTATTTGGTTTGATTTCAGAGCCAATTACATTGCCTTTGGATTTTTCAAGTCTTTGCATCCATCTCCAGATGGGCTAACCAGAGCAGTGTATTTAGGTTACATGTCATATGCTTTCTAGCCAACATATGGAATGATTTCATTTCTTTCATTCTTCATATGGAAGAATTAAATTCTTTCATTTTATTTATTGTTATTATTTTTAATTTGATCAGAGAGAGACAGAAAAGAAAAGTGAGAAAGCAAGCCACCAGGTCCAGGACTCAGGACCCAGTATCCTAACCAACATGCCACCAGCCAGCCCCTGGAATGATTTTAAAATGATTCTTGAGTTTACTATTAGGAGACGAATTCTTTGGGTTTCATTGTCTAACAATATAGGAAAGAATATCTAATGATTGAATTGCCTTCATGACTGTCTTATATCTTCTCTATTTCTTAGGCATTTCTTATTGGTAAAATCACAGGAAAAAATTAGCTTCCATCTTTAAATAATTTTACAATTCAATTATACTTTTAGCTTTTGCTTTTGTGTAAATTGTAAATGCTACATGAGATGTAAAAGGTATTTTAAAGGTTATTTAAAAATCCATCAGCCTTCCCTTAAATTTTCCTTAGAAAGATGTAGTAGTATTGATAAATAAGGTTCAGCTAAATGCAAACTATGCAGAACAGAGATTTTAGATAGTTTTCCCCATGGCCAGTGGTGCAGTAGTAAACATGATGCTCTCTTGCAAGGCATTCCCACGTGGGAAGGTTCCTGGTTCAGGTTGGGAGACCTCCCTGAATACACTAGGCAGTATCTTGCCCATGATCTAGGGCTGCCTGAGGCTGAGGGTGGATCATGATATCAGGATCCTGTTGGGAGTGCTGTCTCTCTTGCTTATGGAAGAAATAAACATTAAAAACCTGTTATCTTTAGAAAATGCATAAGCATGGAAGAGGGGGTGGGTAGACTCCATATCCAAATACCTTTATAAAGCAGGTTCTTAAAATTTGCAAAGTTTAGGGACACGCTCTGTGATCTAGTGGTTGAGGAAGCCACATCCCACATGGTTGACCAGTTGGTTTAAGTCAAAGACCTGGTGACTTGAGAAATACATTGGGCATATGTGCATGCACACCCAAAACCCTGAAAGGAGAAAGATAGAGAAGATGGGACTGCAGTGGGACCATTCTCCGTGGGAGGTGTATTTTCCTCTCTGTCTCTGATGCATGTATACACCCTCTAGGGGGAGAATATGAAGTTATTTATCACCAAATACACTTTCATTTATGTAACTGCTCTTTTGGCATGCTATTGATAGAAGGCAAAGAATGGAAATAAGGCAGCAAAAAGGAATGAGATTAGTGACAAGGTAGGTCAATGAGTGACATTTAAAATCTGTCCTCTTTTCCTGTAACATTTGAGAAACCTAAGCAGCTAACATCTCTGAGGAAATTTTGCTAGGAAAAGCAAAGAATCAGAAATATTAAGATGTATGGAGGGACCAGCAGATGGCATAATGGATATGTTTGCTAGACTCCCACATAGTTGATTAAGGTTCGAGTCCTGGACCCAGCAGCTTAAACTCCCACCAGGCATGTGAGCATGTGTGCCCAAAATCCCAAGAGGAGAATGGAAAAGAAGGGATTGCAGCGTGGCCATCCCCTCTGGGGGGTGATTTCTCGCTTTCTGTCTCTCTGTCTCTCCAGCAAGAGCACGTGCCCTATAGCAAAAATCTCTCTTTAAAAACAAAACAAAACAAACAAAAAAAAACAGAAAAGATGTATAGAGAATACAAAAAGATGGTTGGGGCAGAGATTGTTGGGGAAAGAAAGACAAGGGAGGAAGATATGTAATTGGATAAAACAAGGTCTTTTCTTTTCAGACTGTTTTTTATAAAGTTGTTAGAATTAAATCTGATTTATAAGGAGGATTGATGCAATATGGAGCCAAATGATTAAATTCTTTTTTTTTTTTTTTTGGAGGGGTTTTTCGCTACAGGGCGCGTGCGCTCGCCAGACAGAGAGAGACAGAGAGACAGAAAGCGAGAAATCACCCCCCAGGGGGGATGGCCATGCTTCAGTCCCTTCTCCTCCATTCTCCTCTTGGGATCTTAGGCATGCACGCACACGCGCCCTGCGTGAGTTTTAAGCCACTGGGTCCAGGACACGAACCGCGGTCGACTACGTGGGAGTCCAGCAACATAGCCGTTACGCTAACTGCTGGTCCCAATGATTAAATTATTTTGTCAATGATGAGGTTTTAGTCCCCTCAATATTTCAATAAGGAAATCCCACACTACAAGGACAAATCTGCTTCTCTAGCTATGCATCTGAGAGTCATAAACCACCTATGGTCAAATTAACCTATCTGTTTTAGGGACTTGATGTAGAATGAAAGCCCCTTCACTTAACTGACCATTTTCCAGTCAGGCTTACTCAACTATTCTTTTCTCTTTTTTCTTTTTGCTAGAGGGTGTGTATACTCACCAGAGAGTACACATCTTCCTCCTTCCCATGGAGGAAGGCCACACCGCAATCCCTTCTCCATTTCTCCATTTGGAATTTGGGGCACACACGACATGACACACACACCCAGCATGTTTTTGAGGCCACTGAGTGCAAGACTTAAACCTACATTACTCAGTCAGCCATGTGAGATCCTGCCACCTTAACTACCACACCACCAGCTAGCCAACATAGACTAATCATGAGAATTATCTGGAGCCTCACACTCATGACCACCAGGAAGGGTCAGCCATGGGGTGGGGTGGGTCCATTTATGGCTAACCCATGCTTGCCAAATGCTCTTAAATTGATAATTTTCTTGGTTTAGATCAGGATGGCAGATCTATATACCCTAGGGTGAGGCAAGGACTAGATTAACTCTCTCTTCATAAAACAAAATAACCTGAACAAACTTAAGTCATTTGAAGTAGCACTTAACCCAGACGGCCAGCCGGACAGTGAAGGTGCACTTCTCAGCTAATATCTATCTTCAAAGTAGTTCACAGCCAAGCCACAGTGACTAATGAAATAGGCCAGATTTGCCTATAGAACATTACCCTGAATGTTTAGCAGAGACAGGAAGATGGCACTGAAGTGCAGCAAAAGAAAGTGCCCACAAAAAAAGGTGTATGGGCTATAACGGAAGTGGCAGAGCATATTGTAGTAATTGTACCCTTTGAATAATAACATACATACACAGTTGAGTAGGTAGGATCTGTTAATGTAAGAAAAATTAGAGGAAATTCATATAGTTTGTAATGGGCCCAAAGTATTAGAATAGAGATAAGAATACACTGAAACAACATACACAGACGCACATGCTCACATGTACACATTAGTTTTCAGTTAAGCTTCTTACATCTTCCTTCCCTGATTCCATAGCAGCACACAGGTTAGAAGATTCTAGTAGATTCCAGATATAGAATTCTATACTACTTAGAAAATATATGGCTAGCAAGACAGCATCCCTGCTTTCTCCTACATGGTTTATGCATTCATGAACAGTGAAACCTTTAGAAGCAAACATGTCAGATACCAACTATCATACCAAGAGATGATACAGAATACTTGCACTATTTGATTTAAACCTAATCCTAACTGATGATAGGGTGGATTTCATCATCTTCACACACCCTCACATGTCCAAAGCAGGCCAGCTCAGCTGCGTCACAGTCTAACATGGCGGTATGAGTAGGAGACGTCATGGAAAGAAGTAGCTGCAGGCCACAAGAGTCTGGGCACCATAGTCTTTTTGAGACTGTGTCTGTGTCTCTATTGAAGAAGTCCCTTTCATCGTCTTCAGGCTTAGCTGGAATCTCTTTCACTTAAAGGGGAGAAGGCGAGGTGTGAGCCATCAGAACTAGAGGAAAAGGTTATTGGGAAGCCTTTTCCCTCAGGCAGGCATGTTACACAGCATTCAAACGGATGTCCCCATAGGGAATTTCTGTCGGCGTTTCTGGAGTGATACTTTTAATAATACGCTGTTGAGAAGGAAATATATTCTTATAAACGTTGTTGTAACTTAAGAAAACTGCAAAGAAAATCTCAACATTAATATTAAAGCTTAAATAGCATCCTAATGACATTTAATAGTAAGTTAAACTATGGGAACCAGCAGTTAGTGTAATGGCTATGTCGCTGGATTCCCATGTAGTCGACCGTGGTTTGCGTCCCGGACCCGGTGGCTTAAAACTCACGCCGGGCGCGTGTGCGTGCTTGCCCAAGATCCCGAGAGGAGAATGGAGGAGAAGGGGTTGCGGCGTGACCATCCCCCCGGGGGGTGATTTCTCGCTTTCTGTCTCTCTGTCTTTCTCTGTCTGGCGAGCGCACGCGCCCTATAGCAAAAACCTCTCCAAAAAAAAAAAATATGAAATTAAACACGGC